AGGAAATGTAAGAAAATGTTTTTCTCCCTGAGCCTGGCCTTCATAATTCCATTCCATCACAATTTGATTACGGCGAATAATTCTCTTTTCTTAGCACCAATGAGCCTTTGGATGATGTGGCACCAATGGCAGTTGACTGGAAATTCCATTTAGAGTAACAGATGTGGTGTTAAGGCATAGGTGGGGAACTGAATCTCCCCAAGCTTTATTGATTGAATGGGACTAGGGGCGAGGCTTTGGAGAGAGGAAGCTCCCCCTCCATGCTCTGCCCTTTAGACTTCTTGAAGTCCTTCATCTGCTTTGCTGTTCTTGGCTACCCTGTCTCCCTTTTCAGGAGAATGAAAAGATGGAACAACTGAGATTTGCAAAAGCTACACTCACAGGTATTCCAGTTGGAGCATTAGCAAACTTGGGGAGGAAGTGGCCACTGGAGAGGTGAGTTAAAATCTGATCTGAGCTGGAATCTCTGTATTCAACTAATCTTTACTAGCTATATAGTGGGAAATACACAAAGTCCTCTTCATGCTGGATATATTGTTGTACCTTTTGCATTGATCAAGATAAATAGTTGAGGAATGGATAACTTCATGGAGGACTGGTCAGTCAAGGGCTATTACTCATGGAGACTCACTTTTACCTTTGGGTTGATAACAGCATGTCTTCAAATGCTACTTGCAGGGAACAATGATGGTAGAAGGGAATGTCTTCATGTCCTACTTGGGAGCACCCCAAAAGCACCTGGTTGACCACCATGAGAAACAAAATGGTCCTCGGCCAGATCTAGCAGGGCTATTCTTATATTCTAATGCACTGTAATAAATCTGAACCCTGATCTGATTTTGCATTAGAATCCTCACTCATCCAGGCATGTGTGATGATGCAAATCCATCAACATTATTTATAATTAACCTGTGGACTTCATTAAATCAAGATGTAGTGATGGCCACTAACTTGGATGACTTTGAAAGGGGGTTGAAGAAATTCTTGCATGATAGGTCTATCAAAGTTTCTTGGTCTTAAAGACTCAATGTGAATCCGTTGTTCCTTATTTTTGAACATTAGTAGATGGTCTGTAGGAGCTAATAATAGATACCAGCCTTTTCCAATGCTGCCTTTGAGATATGTTGGATTGCAACTCCCTTAATTCCTAGCCAGCCATGCTAGATACTGGGAATCATGAAAGTTTTGTTCCAACACATCCAGAGGGCACCACATTGGGGAAGAATGGTATAAAAGATTAGTGATCTTGAAGATCCTTTTATGACGCAGCTTGGAATGACCTATGGTCATTCTAAAATATACATGAAATAAGAATGCATTACAGTACAGCCGAAATATGGTGAGCAAAGTTTTATCACACCTTTGGCACAGCCTTCAAAAGTCTGAAAGTACCACTGGGAATGCTCTAATTAGGCCATTGAAATCAAGGGATGTCATATCAAAAGCCAAATTGCTCCAGGAGGATTTGTGCTGAACATGGGTTTGAATATTGACAGGTTATGTTTTATATGGAAGAATCTGGGGCTAGACTACTAGGAAGACCAAGGGCTGTGGATTAGAATGGGAAGTCCAAAATAACATCTTCAAAGAAGACGACTGCTTCCATATTGTTGCTAAGGAAATTACATGGATCTCTCCATGAAGTCACTAGGGGTCAAGTTCAACTCAAGGGAGACTTTATCTTTAGTTTTGAAAAAAATCCAGGAATCATGATGTTTCCTTTTTGTTTTGCCTTAAGACTGTGTGCAACCCTTATGCCCTCTGCCTTAAAGGATTCTCTTCGTTTTTAAATCCTAGGTTGCTCTCCAGATGACACTGATGCACCTACTTTTGGAGAGAGAGAGTTGCTCAAATGTAGCCTTAAAAACAGAAAAAGTTGGGTTGAAACTTCTCAGCTTTTCAGTGAAAGTCTGGATAATTAAAAATCAGATCCCCTTAGAGTAGGGGTAGGGGAGGTCAGGTAGGAAGAGGAAATACTTGAAATATATGTCTTAGTTCAGTCCGATTTTGGAATCAGGAGCTTTCACAACCCAAACACAGTGGTTTTTTACTAATAAAGGTAGAGGAAAACACTTCTACTGCAGTTCTGCTCAGAATAGTCTGGCCAATGACATGTAGCCTCTTTCTTATTTTTCTAAATGGGGAACCCATGGGCCTATGATTTAAAGGAGCCACTACACTGTTGACATTATCAGAAGCAACTCAACACCTTCTTCTGGGGGAGGGCTGCTGGAAGCCTCCTTTGGTGCAAGTGCTTCTCCTTCATCCTCCTCCAGGGTGCCTTCTGAATCGTCCGTCACAGACTCCTCCTTCGCTTCTGCCTCTTCACTCCCATCACTGTCAACATTATAGCCTTCGTCAAGGGTGAGCTTCAGGGGATGGGATTTCCTCTTGGGTGCCAGATGCTCTGTTTCTACATGCTGAAGTTTCCTCTTCTTTGCTAGTGGGCAGCTTTGTAAACTAGGAGGAAGAGAGAGAGAAAAAGAGAGAGCACAAGGGAGGGATCTCAATGGAATGTGGTAGACTCAGGTGTCTAAAGAACCAAATGTACATTTCACATTGCTATTCATTTGATGGAAGTTCAAAATTATGAGTTATCTGGAGAAAGCATGATTAATAATAAAAAGTAGTTCTCCAGGGAATCCTGGGGTGTTAGGCTAGATTGGGAAGTTGGGAAAAGAAGTCCTGGAAAAAGACAATAGTAACCCCATTTTTAAATTATTACCAAGGAAATTCCATGGATGTGTCCATGAAGTCATCAGGAGTTAAGCTCGACTCAAAGGAGGCTATATTTCTACCCAGCCTGAGGCTGCCCAAGGCTAATGGGGAAGTCAGCGATGTTCAATACGGGCCAGAAAAGTTTGGTCAGAATAGATTAGCTGAGTTTTTCTCAACCTCAGCAATTTTAAGAGGTGTGGACTTTAATTCCCAGAATTCCCCAGCCATGCTGGCTGGGGAATTTTGGGAGTTGAAGCCCACACCTCTTAAAGTTGTTGAGGTTGAGAAACATTGGATTAGCCTGAGCGCCCAGGTAAGTTGGGCAGATGACATTCACTAGATGGCAACAAAGAGTGAGCTTTCTCTTTGCTGCCACCTAGTGGTGGTCTGAAGATGTGCAGCCCCAGATATGGTAGCCCTAACCATGCCTGCGAATACCAGTTTCAAGAAAACAATGGTAGGATTGGGGAATGTCTCCAACTCCTGCCTGCAGGGCCTCTGAAGAAGACCCCCTGGAGAAACAAAATGATGGACCAAGAGGGTCTTTGGTCAGATGGAGCAGGGCTATTCTTACATTCTTAGGTACTACAATAACTCCAATAGAAGAGAATATATGTCGCTCAGGGATGAACTGTGGAGTCCTGGGTGATCTTGAAATGTCTGCAGGCAAACCACCAAGCTCAGAGAGCACCAAGGACTCCACTGTCATCACTCTCAACTCAGATCTGATTTTGAACCAGAACCCTCATTCTTCCAGGCACGTGTGCTGATGGCAAGTCGGTTGGTCTCATCCAGCAGGTCTATCCTTATGCTCTGATGTAGGCTACTTAATTTTGTCCCCCCCCCCCCTTTAACTCTCTGCTCTTGTGCTGATGAGACTGGTGATAAGGTTGTGATGGCTAGAATGGTAGTGCTTTAACTCAGGGTTCCTCAACCTCAGCACCTTTAAGATGGGTGGACTTCAACTCCCAGAATTCCCCAG